TCTATTGTCATTTATATATCGTATCTACGCATACATCTAAATAAATATTTGAGAGTAAGGAGGCTAATCTTTTCAAAATTCAAAATATTATTTTTTGTAATGTGAAGAAAGATTCTGTAACTTTCTATTTAATAAACGAAGTGTTTTGTGAACTGTTTATTGCTTTTGGATAAATGTAAAATGTGTTATTTTATTTTTTCTTATGCAGGCTTTCTATGAATCAACTTAAGAATTTCCTATGCATGATTTGATTTCCAAATGCTGACTATAAGAATATGCAAGCTGGTATCGAGACATTATATTCCATCTGGAATTTATACTTATAAGAAATACTTACATGAAGACTTTAAACGGCACTCTGCAATCACTTAAGCATTTTCTAACCTTTGTATTAACCAAACTATTGTCAGTCTCCAAGACGAGATAGATGATAGGAGGCCATAATTGTAATATAAAGCATTGGGCTTGTCAATATATTATGCATGATTACATAATTCTAATCATTTCTTTGATGTTAAAAGGAACTAATGTCATGAAGTTAGATTGATTGGGTTAGAGAAGCATTCGATAATGAAGAAACAGTAATACGATTATGAAAAGTATGATATATTGGGAAATTAATTTTGTAGCATTAAATAGTACTAGTTTATGAATTGCACATTCAAGAAATTGAAGATTACATGAGACTAGATTTTAGAATTGTGGAAGTTTTCTCCAATTTTATGTTCATTTTATCACTTTCATGGTGAACTCCGCTAGCTCTCATGCTTACTCTAAGGGCAAAACGGAAAGTCCTCGTTTGCCGCAGCTAATGCAGAACAGATTACCGTCTGAATTATTCAAATTTTGGGCATTTCTCTATAAAATTAACAAATGATAACACTATCAAATTTAGTATTCTGCAAAGTTGGGAATTGAAAACTGATGGAACTTAGGGTCTCATTCTCCACTCTATATAGCCTCCGGAACTGTCATGAGTAATTGGATCTGCCGTTTGTGTAACGCCAATTTTAGCCACTTACTCTATGTGATTTATGTTGCGACCAAAATATTAGTACTTATTTTCTTATATTGGAAGGTCGTATAAAGATTAGCTATGGGCAGCAAGTGCTAAATTAGTTCCATTATTTGGAAATGAATCTTATACTTTTTTACCATGGTGGATAACTGTATAATAAGGCTAACTGATATTAATCTATTAGTTCATGGTTTGTCCAAACACATTCGGAATCGTCTGACTTGAGATCGGGACATTATTAACACTTGATCAATTATTTCTAGCCAAGTACATTGATATCCGAGGCTAAAATTAAAATTTGTACAATAGCAATAAGTATTAGGTTGGCAACTAAGTCATTGCCGATTTCAAATAAGAAGGCAAATTCGGAATTTTTGTTTAAAAATATAACTTTATTCAATTAGATATTGGCCGTTCTTGTCGATGACCTTTTTCCATCCTTCTGGCAGAGTAAAATGTTTCCAACAATGTTTCTTTCGCATATGCAGTAAGACTTCAAGAAAATAAGGGAAATGCATTTGATCTTTAAAAGGTTTCATATTTTATACGAACATTGTGAATCCACAAAACATGAATTCCCAACCGTTGTAGTGTTATTACATTTTCTTGCAAAGTGTGAACAGGGGATTGAAACTTAAAAGCAGAATTCTTAGACTTATTCACAAAATTTTCTAAACTATATTTAAATCGAATAGTATAATGCTGAGTTGGTAGTAATTTTATTATAATGTTCATATGAATGAATTGTGATTCATATGATTCCTTTAAATCTAAGTACTCTTTGTTTAAAATTTTTCTTTAAAGGACGAAATGGCACCAATACCATATAAATAAATAACTCGAATTGTCGAAGAGCCCAAGTTTATTGTTTCATGTAAACCAACTTCAATAGGGCTGCATTATAAATACAATTTACACACGCTTTAATTTAACGTTTTCTTAATTCGTAAAATAAAATACATTTTCACCGTTTGCAAAATTTGAAAATTATTTTGTACTTATTCAAATTTTCATCAAACATATTTTGAATAAGATTCAAATAATGTGTTCAAATAAATAAACGATTTAAATATTGATTTTTATATATTTAACATACTAATTAGCAATTAAATTTGAGTGGATTTGTAATGAATTTTGTTTATCTGACTATCTAAAATTTATTTCCTACTTTAAACGCGAAACTTTTGTTTAATATTTTCTATTATGATTTTATTGGGTAAGGCGTGCTTTCATGTCTATATCATTATGAAAATGCTATTAGTAACTAAATTCATCGTTGGAATATTTTACCCTTCTTACCCATCAGCCTAAAGAATTTGCAACTCTCCTTATATAGCCTTGAAAATTGTTTGCTTCTTCATTGGTAAAATTGTCTTTATTTCTTCTTTTTCTGTCCCTTTAGATGTATGATACATGTAATTTAGTCTGCTGATCATAGTGGAATTATTTATAATGGAGTCGAAAACGAATGAAGCCCATATGTTTC